TAATGAAGACAAGAGAAAACAATAAGATTATGATATGAATTTTTTTTATGTGTTTTATTACCCTTACATATTTATTTTAAATATATTGATGATTTATTTCATTTATAATTGCATCAAACAGTTTTATTTGTATTTAAACTATTACTTTCTTTCATTTTCAAATCGAACATCTTTTTCATTTCTAATTTGTCCGTTTACACTTTAGAAAGCTGAACACATGAAAAATTTTAAAGTTAATTTACAACACTTTGTAAAAATGTATTATGTTAAAATTTACAAGAGAATTTCAGGTTTTACACAAACTGTAAAAACATTTTAAAATCAGCATGTGCAACATGATGATAGCACAATTAGATGATATTTTAAGCCAGTTTATTGTAAATTTGTGCAAACTTGATAAACAGAACTTAACTTACTTTTATTCATCCTAACTTGTGTTTAATAATTAGAATTTGTTGAGGAAATTATATAATTTGTATTTATTGGTTTTAGTTTTAACAAAGCAAGTCAACAATCTTTTAGAGTTGGGTAATCAAAAAGTACTAACCCTCTATTTATTTTTGTGTGTTTTGGACCCCATTACGTCACTCTTTGCATGAAGAGTGGATGAAGAGAGTTTATRATTCTACCTGTTGGTTCTGATATGCCGTGACGGTGGTGAACACGGTCTCGGGGAAGGAGAAGGTACGGGTGCCCTCCCCGTCTGGAACGGCTCTCACCGGAGATAAATCGTCTCCACACTCCTTGTGGATGACGTGAACCCGCGGCTGGTACTTGTGCATGGAGTGAAGAATGATCTAAACGAGATGAGAGAGAAAAACAAATCAAGTTTTTCTTGTTGGGTTTTGCACACAGCAGCAGAAAAACACATTAACCACAAAAAAAACATGCAAGGAATCAGGCAATGAACCCTTAAATACAAGAAATAATTTTTAAAAAAATGAAGAAATGTTGAAGTCCATACATGTCCCTGGTCATCCAGCTCGTTGTTGGTCAGTTTGAGTTTGTCAAAACTGACCACCTGACGCATCCAAGTCTCRCCTGAAGCTGGGGAGTCAGGGTGGATGTAGACTCTGGGGGGCACGGGGGAGTCTGCGTTCCCTGCCACCATCCATTTGGAGCTGTGATAGACGTACCTTCACCGTTCAAAGACAGGAGAGGAATCAGAGAATGTAATATTTTTAAAAATATATTTTCAGGCTCTTGCGTTAATTGATGAATGTGTTTATTTTTTAGAGATCATTTTAGAAATAACTTCAAATTCCCCCAACAAATATGTATTTCATATTCTTTTTGTTTCGCAGCTCATAAATGGTTGAATGAGGCTTTCTGTTGCTTTATTAAATCACTCCTCTCTTCTTTTCTCTTACATGAC